TCTGTTTCCTCTCTCAGAAAGAAGCTGTGAGAACTTGTCTACTCTCCAAACAATGGCGCCACGTAGGATCAACCCGCCCGGACGTCGACTTCTCCGAAGAACGGTTCAACGACACACAAGAAAAGGTTGTCTCCGTCAAATCAACTCGCCCCAACATCAACTCGTCCGAAAAATATATCAACAATAGACAAGAAAAGTTTGTCCCCGTCGTCGTCGACCGAACTACTATACAACGTTGCCGTGATAAAAAATGCTCCAAACTGCACCGCATTCTCTCTCTCTTCCTATGCAGATTGCAGACCATGGCGGCGCAACAATGTATCAACTCGCCCCAACCTCGACTCTTCTGAAAAATTGTTCAACAGCTCCTCCATAGGATCAATTCGCCCCAACCTCAACTCTTCTGAAAAATTGTTCAACACTACACAACAAGACTTTGTCTCGGTACTCAACCGAACCCTACAAGCATACAGTGATCAAAACCTCTCTATACACAATTTCCATCTCGACATATCGAGGCCCGACTCACGACAGGTCATCACCCTTCTGGACAAATTGATCCCGATGATAAACGCACTCAACATAAATGTGTTCAAACTCAACTTTAATTCATATACTCATGACCTCCCCTCGGCAGTCTTCTTAGCCGAATCCCTCGAAGAACTACACCTGCGCAATTGCAAGCTGAGCCCGGTCGAAAGCATGTGGTTTAGAAGTTTGCGCACACTCACCCTCGAACGGGTCCAAGTTAATGGCCGCACTTTCGATACAAAAATGTTGGGCTGCCCTTTGCTCAGGCGCCTTGTCCTTAAGAGTTGTTCGGAGTTGAGAAACGTTAGGCTGAGCGAGGCGGCATCGCCTGGGCTCAAGCACTTTGAATTGTCTGATTACATCAAGATGGAAGGGCGTAGCATCGAAATTGATGTCCCAAATCTCGAGACGGTCATTATCGGTGGCCCATGGATTTGGTGTCACCGCCAAAGCACGTTCTTGTTCTCTCGTCTCACGAGATTGAGTCTCTGTAGTGTGATCCTGTCGAGTGAGTCATTCGACCTGCTATCATTCGGCTGCCCGATTCTTGAGGTCTTGACCCTACATAACTGCTCCGGTTTTGAGGAATTCCATCTTGTTAGTGATTCGGTCAAGTGGTTGATCATCTCGACAAGCAAAATTTTGCTTAAAGGAGCTACGATTTGTGCCCCCAACATTCTCAATTTTACGTTCATTGCCTGTATTCCTCAGGCGCTGCCCACATTCTCTTTCACGACCACTACTTCCAAGGAGTGGGATTCAAATGTATTCCTATCTTCTTCGCGTGAGAAAGATCCTGATTTCGACGTCAATTGGTGGTTCCTTGAGGTGAGACGATTGCTCGAGGCACTAAGTGAGTCTCGGATTTCTCTGTTTTTGTATATGAACGGAGGCCCTCAAGATGTGTCGTGTAGTAGTGCTTTTCTAGGTGACGAGCCGCCTGTGGTGGTGCGATACATGAGTTTTACTACTTTTAAATGTCGCACGGCATCTTGGTACTTGGGGCTTACGAATGGCTTGCTTCGTGTTTGTCGACCAAGTCATGTATTGGGTTGTAGGTTCGTGAGCGGGTCGGGCAGGAAGTACAGGCTCTCAGAGTTTCAGTTAAACATGTTGCTTGCAAACAAGAACGTCAGGACCGAGCCCTACTTTTGGCAGCACGATTTGGAGCAAGTTCACGTGGATGGGCAGCTCGTGCAGTGGACAGACCAGTCGGAATTGCGAAACAGGACGTATGACGGGGTAATATGGATTCGTTTGAAATGGAGAGCTCAGACAACGGCATAAGTTCTACGCTTGCTTGCTTTTCAATTTACTAATGAGTTTCACATTCTGTCATCCTGATTTTTATCAAAAACTAGTCCTAAAGTCATAACCTTGCATAGCAAAAATTTTTATGTCGATCGGTTTTTGCTGCCATTATGCAATCTGATAGTCATTAACATGCAATTCGTCTAACAACGTGTGTTGTTGGGCAGTCACTATTATGCATCTTGTTATAAAAAAATATATTAACATGAATGGTAATATGTTAATGTAATATTTTATATATTAGTTTTTAGTCGAAAACATAAACATATGTATTAAAAATATACATTTTATTTTTTATAAATTAAAAATCAATGGACTAAATTGAAATATATACAAATTTCTTAAATTGCAATAAAGTCCTTAAAGTTTATCTAATTCACTACTTGATGCGACAAATTCAGAAATTGAATATTAAAAATCCGTCGTAGTAAAATAATTTAGCCAATTTAAGAAATTTGGTAATTTTTGCCCCTATAAATAAATAGAAAACCTTCTCTAGGGTTGATTATTATTCAGCAGACCCAAAAAAAATAATTCCCACATCACATTATTATCTCCTATTGAAAAGCTTAAGCAGGCGGCAGAAACAGAGGAGACTCTGTACACAGCCATGGCCGACGACAGATTATCCCAACTGCCAATACCTATACTTCACCACATTCTCTGTTTCCTCTCCCAGAAAGAAGCTGTCCGAACATGTTTACTCGCCAAACAATGGCGCCACATAGGATCAACCCGCCCCAACCTCGACTTCTTCGAAGAATGGTTCGGCAACGCACAAGAAAAGTTTGTCTCGGTCGTCGACCGAACCCTACAAGGATACCGTGATCAAAACCTCTCCGTACACAAACTCCATCTCGACTTATCAAGGCCCGAACCAGTCGTCTCCCTTCTCAACAAATGGATCCCGATATTAGCCCTCAACATAAAAGTGTTCAAACTCATCTTTCTTTCATATACTCCGGCGTATTACAAACTGCCCTCGGCAGTCTTCTTAGCCGAGTCCCTCGAAGAACTACACCTACACCAATGCAAGGTGAGCCGGGTCGAGAGCGTGCGGTTCAAACGTCTGCGCACGCTTACCCTCAAAGAGGTCTCAGTTGATGATGGGACTTTCGAGAAGATAACGTCAGGCTGCCCTTTGCTCAGGCGCCTGGTCCTTTATTGTTGTCACCGGTTGAGAAACGTTAGGCTGACATCTCCTGGACTCGAGCACTTTGAATTGCGTGATTACAAAAGGATCAAACCGTGTAGCATCGAAATCTATGTCCCGAATATTGAGACGGTGTCCATAAGGGGCCCGTGTATATGGTGTCACCGCCAAAGTGCATTCTTGTTCTCTCGTCTCACGAGTTTGGATCTCAATAGTGTGATCCTGTCGAGAGAGTCGTTCGACCTGTTATCGTTCGGCTGCCCGACTCTTGAGAGGTTGACCGTAAGTAATTGCTCCGGTTTTGAGGAATTCCATCTTGCAAGTGATTCGGTCAAGTGGTTGACCATCTCGACAAGCAAAATATTGCTTAAAGGAGCTACGATTTGTGCCTCCAACATTGTCAGATTTGAATTCACCGCCCGTATTCCCAAGGTGCCAGACACATTTTCTTTCACGACCACTACTTCCAAGGAGTGGCACTCACATGTCATCCTCTCTTCGGTTGAGAAATATCCCGATTTCAATGTCAATTGGTGGTTCCTTAAGCTGAGACGAATGCTCAAGGCACTAAGTGGGTCTCAAATTTCTCTGGTTTTGCGGTTGAATGGCGGCCCTGAGAACGTGCCCTGTAGTGCTATTGTCGGTGACGAGCCGCCTGTGGCTGTGCGGGCCTTGAATTTTTATTCTCGTAAATTGCGCACCGCGTCTTGGTATATGGGGTTTACGAATGCCTTGTTCCGTGTTTGTCGACCGAGTCACTTATGTGGTTGTTGGTTCGTGGACAACTCGGGAAAATACAGGCTCTCGGCTTTTCAGTTAAACATCTTGCTTGCAGACAAGAAAGTGAGGACCGAGCCCTACTCTTGGAGGCACGATTTGGAGCAAGTGTTTGTAGAAACTCTCGACGGGCAACAGTGGCAGCTCATGCTGTGGACGAAACCTGAGAACTTGCAAAGACGAAAGCAAGACGGGATTATTCGCCTTAGATTGAAATGGAGTTGTTAGAATGTTTCTAAACAGGTTCATAGTCAGTATGATGGGTTAATAAGGGCTAAGTTAAAATGGAGAGGTCAGACAACACTTTTCTCTTTGATATATATATCTCTTATGTTTAAGCTTTTAGTCTGATGCCATATTAGGCTGCAAAAAGGTATAATATACAGTTCAACAAAAAGAACAAAAATGTGCACAAATATAAATAGACTGACAAATGACATTTCTTTATTTCTTTATTTATTTTTTTGCCTGGTTTTGAAAATCAATTTTGGACAATTAAAATATACAAATGTGTTTTAAATTTTGTTGAGTTTCTACATGTGTTTAAGTGGAAAGAGTTAAGAAGAAATTATTTTGGAGAATTTCACCTTATCCTGCCGGAATAACCCACGGCACGTCCGCTACATCACCGTGTTCGGCCTTTGTCGTTTTCCCGATCTGACGTGACCAAGCTTCTTCTCGTCTACATCTCGTTGTCATAATGCGGTGCAAAATTCCTCGGCAATTGTTCATGTTCAGTATGGTGACATATGTTTTCATGCAAGTACTATTTTGTTAGATAGTATGTTGTGGATAGAGCTTTATGCACCCTCTCCATTCCTCGGCAATTGTTCATCTTCTTTCTTGAAGCTTTTCTACATTTGTGTACTATGTCGAGTAACCATGTTAGAGTTTGTGTGCAGTGTGGCGGTACTCTTTCTTGGGGGTTCGTTTGTGGATCAAGTGTTTGATATCAGAATAGGTTGTGAAAAAAAAAAAAAAAAACAAAAAAACAAAACAAAAACAAAAACAAAAACAATGTAATAATAAGAACTAAAATGCTGCACAGATATAAAATGCTCCGCCGAGTTTTCATTAGCTTTCGAGAAGATTATGTCGGGCTGCCCTTTGGTCACCCGTGTTTTCCTTTAAAAGTGTGAGGGAATGAAAAACGTTAGACTAAGCAATGCGGCATCGCATAGGGGATGATTGAAGGTTGTAGCATCGAAACCGCTGTCCCAAGTCTTGAGAGGGTTCGCATCGAGGGGGATGATGGCTCGTGTAGTTGGTACCACCGCCAAAGCACATTCTTCTTCTCTTGGCTCACTAGTTTGTATCTGTACAGATTGATCCTATCAGCAACCTTTGTCTCAGAAGTTAGTTCAGACTTCCAATCACAGGTAAAATTACTTTCAGTTCACCATATTTTCGTGACTTTGAGTTTTCGCTTTCGCATATGATCACGGGACGACTAAGCTATGTAATATATTCTCATGCTCAACATGTTCGATAACCAGAAGAAGAACAAGCAAGCGAAGTATCAATTCAATAAAAGAAGGAACCATGTTCTACGTTAAACATTTCGTGAACGACCGAAATCATGAGCAAAACACCTATTGCAGAACAACAAGTAACATTAAGATATATCTGATTTATAAAAAAAAAAAAGAGAGTAATAACTTTGCCAATTTAAGAATTTTGGTAATTTTGTTCAAAGTAATGAAATCAATTTCGATGTTGACCTGACTTCATAACACACTATCACAGCAAACCAAATAGGCCTACGCCTTCAACTGGAGTGAAAGAAAACCGGTAAGGTCCGTCCATACGTCCTGTTTCGCAATTCTGACCTCTCCATTTCAACTGAAGGCATATATTCCTGTTATACGTCCTCTTTCGCAACTCTGAAAGGTCCATCCACTCCACGAGCTGCCATATTTTCCCAACGACGGTTTTCACATGCACTTGCTCCAGATCGTGCCGCCAAAAGGTCCCGAGGCTCATGCTTGCAAGCAAGACGTTGAACTGAAAATTTGAGAGCCTCTGGTTCCAGGCCACCTCCAGCTCGCACACGAACCTACGACCCCATACGAGCCTCGGTCGGCAAACACGAAACAAATCATTCGTAAAGTCCGAGTACCAAGATTCTGTGCGATATTTAGAAGTTGTGAATTCCAAGTTATCCACAACCACAGGCGGCCCGTCACTGAGAAGATGACTGCCGTCAGCACCACATGGCACGTCCAG